TCAGCCCCTAGCTATGGAACCAGAGGTCTACCACCCCCAATTATTACCTGATGGTGAAGATCAAGCTCACACCAAGGACTTCAATGCCCCCAAATAACAAGAAGTAGTTTGACAATAATGTCACCCACTCTCCTGACCCCAGATTGTCTGTAATTTAGATATGAGGAATGTAGGGTAACAGGCCAGTGAAAAACCACCCTGCCCCCAACTGTCCCCGGCTCCATGACTCAGGGTCAATGCCAAGCTACATTTTTTCACTAGTTCACTGCCCATGCTCCACTACCTCACTGTGCATGATCCAAAACCTGGTGAAGCCTGCCCTCCACCTAGTCCCGTGCTGTCTCTGTTCCCATTCGGAGACAGCTGCCATTATGTTTCTCCCCAATAAATCTCTTGTGTAACCCTAAAGGTACTCAAAGAAATGAAATTTGACAAATGTATGTATTTCATTTTACAGAAATTTGAAAATTAAAATATGTATATCATACAATAGAAACATTTTCAGGATTTCAATGGCAACTGCTTTGAGTTCTGAAAAGACTGATTCTGTAATTACACACCTATTAGAAGTTATGGCCATCACCTACACAAATTAAGACCTACAATGCTCCAGCATATGTCTCTAGTAAAATGAAACATATTTTGGATATTGTAGCATAAAGCATATTACAGGTAGACCACGTAATACTCCAGGAAAAACAGTTGTTGAGAGATATAATCGCACTTTAAAAGAAGTGCTTAATAAACAGGTAGGATGAACCAAGACACCCCAGAGATAGATTGCATCATGCCCTATTAACCTTGAATTTTCTTAACGCTAATGAGAAAGGAACAACAGCTTCGGAAAGATACTGGGCAATAGAAAAAACTTCTGAGTTAAATCAGCCAGTGTACTTCAAAGATGTGTTGACCCCAGAATGAAAACAAGGAAAGGTACTACATCAGGGAAGGTGTTTCACTTTTGTTTCCATAGAAGAAAAGCTATGGACACCATAAAAATCAATTAAATTTGATTTGAACAGGAGAAATCTCTTGATAAAGAAAAATGATAGCTCATCTACTGAAGTGACAATCCTACAGGTAGTGAGGAAAACTCACAAGGGTTCTGTTCTTGTCTTTATAGAAGAACAGAAATACCCATCTGCCGGGCGTTGGTGGCGCACGCCTTTAATCCCAGCACTCGGGAGGCAGAGGCAGGTGGATCTCTGTGAGTTCGAGACCAGCCTGGACTACCAAGTGAGTTCCAGGACAGCCTCCAAAGCCACAGAGAAACCCTGTCTCGAAAAAAAAAAAAAAAAGAAATACCCATCTTTAAGAAACCAAAAGACCTTGGACATCTAGACATATAAAGAAGAAGGAATGCTATCTATAAAAAATTACCAAGCAAAGAAAAATCTTATCTATGGTACCAATATTCTCTACAGGGTAAAATGTCACTACCTAAACACCTCTATCTCCTCACTTCTCAGTATAATGGTTGTCCTAACTCAATTAAAAATCAAAACTGGCTTTAGAATTGGAGTATGGCTCTCTCCTTCTCTAAAGCCAAGCAAGTTCTTAAAAGAAAAATTCAGAGTTTCTGTCTCATATGAGAAGAGCCATCTGGTGTGGGACAGAAGAAAATCTAAGGACTATTGCTACCAAAATTTGTTATCTTCCCAAAATTCTACTCCCATACTTATTTTCATCTCTATGTTATCATTCTTAGGATGCCTATCTATCAAAAATTTAAACTTTTCATTTTGATATATTGTTAAATGTTTGCTTTTTTCACAGTAAACAATGAATTTTCCTAACAGCAATCTCTGAAGTCCAACAGTTGAGATGTATGGTTTTTTGTTTTTCTCAGGGTGGGTTGTAAGTTATTATAGGGTTGGGGGCATAATATTACTAGTTAAACTCAAGAATCTCATTTGGTACAGAAAAAAGGGAAATAGACAAGATAGGATAATTAGGTAGATTAGTGTATCTACTTGTAAATTATTTTAGCAACTATTAGTTATAGACAATTTACATTGATATAGATTCTTGTATATTGATACATATGTAAAATTATCTTTGTATTTCTGTCTAGGATAATTTGTATATTGATACAAATTCAAAATTATATTTGTCATATTGTGTACATTCCTATTTCTGTTTACAGTGTTTTTGCACACAAATGTAAGATTATTTTTGTCATACTGTATGTGTGTATGTTTCTATTTCTGCTTAAGATATTTTGTATATTGATACAAATTAAGAATATTTTTGTTAGCCAGGTGTTGGTGGCGCCTGCATTTAATCCCAGCACTCGGGAGGCAGAGGCAGGCGGATCTCTGTGAGTTCGAAGCCAGCCTGGTCTACAGAGGAAGTTCCAGAACAGCCTCCAAAACAATACGGAGAAACCCTGTCTGGAAAAACAAGCAAACAAAAGGAATCGCAGGTTATAGTCACCCATGTTTGCCACACTTCTCTATTATGTTAGTTGGGTTCTCTAGATGCACAGAGATGTACCTTCTATTCCACCAACAGCTTTGGGGACCAGCCTTAGGGCGAGGCCTGCGGTGCTATGTTTTTATGTAAAAAGATGTATCTTAGTTTCTTGTCACCTTTTAGGTTGTTGTGCGCAGCAGTAGCAATTATTTTCCAGGTAAAATAATTTTTTTGAGGGCTGGGGGGTCCAGCTCAGTGGTAACATGCTTGTCTAGCATATGTGAGGCTCTGCTTCAACACCCACTAGCAGGTGAAAAATATTTTAAAAGAATTATTGCTGGCCTCTGCCTCATCCTCCCCCCATTTATGGCTGCAAAGAATTTGCATGTATGTTTCTGATATTCTATTCAGTAATGTTGTGACGAACCAGCCTGCCTCCATCTTAGGCTTAACAGCCATTTTATGGTAAGGACAAACTGGGCTTGTTCCCGTTTCTCGTGGATTGGGCTATGCCCCACCTGTAACCTGAACTACAAACGGTTCTGTACTTCATGTTCCAGGAAACCACACCCATGTCTTTCTTTCAAAGTTTTTTTTATAACCATCTTGCAACCCTATCTTTTTTTTTTTTTTTTGTTTTTTTTCGAGACAGGGTTTCTCTGTGGCTTTGGAGGCTGTCCTGGAACTCGCTTGGTAGTCCAGGCTGGTCTCGAACTCACAGAGATCCGCCTGCCTCTGCCTCCCGAGTGCTGGGATTAAAGGCGTGCGCCACCAACGCCCGGCCGCAACCCTATCTTTGTTTCAAAAGTTGTTATGACTACCTTGTTCTGGCCACCTTGTACCTTTCAGTCCTGTCTGCTCCAGGTCATTATGACTAACTTGCTATTCTGCCTTCTTATCCTGTAATCCCACATATTTTGCCCACCAAATCCCACATCTGGAAACCCCCTAGCCCTGAGCTGTAAAAACCTTGTCCCTTCTCACATTCAATGACTGGTCTCATGAACCCCGCTTAGGCGGAGGCAGCGGGTATACACAAATAAAAAGGCTTGCATTGATTATTTGCTTACTTTAATTAATTTGGCCACGATGACTTAGGGTGGTGATCTTTCTCCTCAAAATTGAGATTAACAGTTGACACCCAAAATTTCTAACCATTTCCTACACATATGTGTATCTCATATGTATATATTTTCATATGAAGCAGTTCCACTTTTTAAAATGTTACCATTTGCCAATGAAAATCCACAAGTTTTTTCCCATTTTGTCTTGTTTTGTTTTTAACACTGTTGGAAAGGCGCTACTGTGTAACAATCCAGAGACTACCTTTCCCGAGGTGCATGGGGCCAGCCAGGTGGGTGGGGAGAACCTCTGCTCTCTCAGTTCATCGCCAATGGTGTGAGCCTCAGGCACACAGGGAGATTAGGCCAGCGCCACATGGCAGGGGAAGGCGGGGCTTGCTAGAGGACCCACAGCAGACAGAGAAGGGAAGAGTGACAGAGTGGCTTCCCACACAGGAAGTAACAGAAGGAACCTGAGTGTTCCCGTGGGGAAGTCCTTGATTGTGTCTGACCACATGCTCTGGAGGTCGTGAGATGTAGCGTGGTGGATGTCTCTCTCTGGAATGGGCTTGATTAAATGCTGTCCCCCAGGGAAAGCAGGTCTGAGACGCTGAGCAACACAAACAAGATTACATGTCAGGACCTAGCACAGCTTCATGTTTCCTTGATCTCTGCCCAGGAGCAAGGCAAACATCGCAGACAATGACAGGGCTAAGGTCCTGAAGGCCCCACGAGGAAGCAAGCTAGGGATGTTGGCATCTACATGGGTGCATGAATATCCCAGACATCTGCCCACAACCACATGCTCCCATGCACATGTGCTCTCCGACAGTCTGTATTTTAAAAAGACAAGTACGAGTATCCAAAGTCAGGGTCTGGTCCTTCCTTTGCCCAGGCAAGATAAAGGCCAGATGTCTCCACAGTCCCTCAATTATATTACAGAAGGGTTTATTGTCACTGAGCGTGGCTGGGAGCTTGGGGCCATGGAGAGGCTGCATAGACTATCTCTAGGGGGAGCCCAACCAGCCTGGATTGGTGGCACTTCGGGCCCAAGATGCAGGGTGCAGTGTGTAGGGCGCAAAATAGAATCATGGTGTGAGGGTCAGGGACATTGCAGGTGTGACGGTGACCATTACTTACTATGCTTAAGAGACCAAAAAAGCAAAACGCCTCTAATATGTAAGCCCCTGGCTTGTACAGGCTGTACCCTGGCAGCCCACTTCCCCTCTGGCCCCAGAAGTTAAGGACTCTCCTTAAAGTGACGAATCTTGTAAACTTGCTGTTCTAGCGAGACAGTAAGGTTGCTATTTCTGCTTTTGAAATCAAACTTGCTTACTCTACTCAAAAGTTGACTAGGACAACTGTTAAAATAAGCCCCTGCCTACACGTAGGCAAACTCTATGTAACGTGGGTTTTGCCTTTATAAGCTCTGGGCTGATATGGCTAGGGGGGCATGTTTGGCGTGCTCTCAGGTGCAGACCTGGCACCAGCCATTCTGGGTGCCAACACCTAAAAGAAAAAGTCTCTTCTTATCGGAATTTATTCATGGGTTTTTGTGAACCTCTGAGCAACCCCAGACAGTAGGGCGTACGGTGCAGAATGTGTGAGCTACGGGGCAGGGTCCGGCCCTCTAGAAGGGGAACTCGCAGACGAAGTAGAGGCGCCGCTCACAGTCATGGTCCCACCAAGAACCGTCGTCTGAGGCCTGCGCCACGCAGTTCTCCAGGACGCCGCCATTGGGCTGATCCGGGCTGAGTGGATGTGATGCCGCGCTGGGACGGGCGCCGGGCTCCGGGCTGGGTGCTCGGTGCCAGGCGAAGAAGGACACGCGCTGGCCGTTCTCGAAAAGGTAGAGCCCTTCCGAACGCCTGTCGTTCACGCCCAGCCACACCGGCCAGTTGTAGGGGGCAAGCGCAGCTCGCAAGTACCGGCCCACCGCGTCCATTTGCTGGCGGTCCACCGGCTGCGCTAGGCTCCCGCCCCGCGCCTTGCACCGCGCCTGCGCTGCCGCCTGTGTCTCGAAGTCCCGCGAGAGCAGGAAGCACTTGTGGCCCAGTCGCAGGCCCTTCAGGCAGCCTGTGTGCATGGTGAGGCGGAGTCAGAACATTGGGATAGGAGGGGGCGGGGCCAGAGTTAGGCCTTTGCATGATCAATGAGGCGGAACCAAGGTTTCAGGGGGCGGGAGAGGGCGGGGCCTGTAGGGAAAGGGAGGAGCCAGAGCAATTGGGCGGCGTACTAGGGTAGAGGGCGGAGCCAGGTGGAGGAGGGTTAGAACTGCGATGACCAATGAGGTAGAGGTAGGCCTCCTGGAGGCGGGGCCAAAGCTCTGGCAGGGAGACCAATGAGGCAAAGCCAGGGATGAAGGAGACGGAGTCAAAGCTTTAGGGGCCGGAAGAGGGCGGAGTCAGAGTTAGAACAGCTGTGGCCAGGGAGGGCAAGACTGGGCTGTTGGGGGCGTGGCTAAAAGAAGACCGTCCCGGTGTGGTCGAAACTAATTAGGGGGAGCCAGAGCATTGAAGACAGAGAGGGCGTGGACAATGGGAGGGATTAGAACTTCAGTGACCAAGGAGGCCTGGCCAGGCTGTCAGGGGCAGAGCCAAAGCATTTGTGGTTATAAAAAGGTGGGGCCAGAGGGAGTCTTGTCAGAGCCGAGTCTAAAGGGGTGGAGCCAGGACCTCCGAGGGGGCGTGGCCAGTGGGTGGGCGGCACCAGACAGTGGGTGGGGCTTCCAGGGTGTGGCCCAGGTTGAAGCGAGGAGTGTCTCACCCACCTACAGTCCAGCTCGAGATGCGCCAACACATCCCAGCTCTGTGTGGACCCTCTGGCTTCCTGACACTCTTGGCCCCCAGGTCTTCAGACCTCCCTGAGTTGCTTCCTCCCACCCAGGCACTCTTGGTGCTGGGAAGACTCACCTTCCAAGCGGCCGTGCTCCTGCTCAGCGCGAACCTGTGCCTCCTTCAGGGCTTGCACTGAGTCGCCTGTGTCACTAGTAGCATCCCGCAGCTGTCGCAGTCCCTGGGTCAGCTGGACCACACGGGTGTCCAAAGCGTGCAGACGAATGTGCAATTGGTGTAGGCCTGCATCCAGGCCCGCCAAGCGGCCCACTGTGAAGGGACAGGATATGCATCTGGAGGCACAGTCAGGGACCCTAAGGACCAGGGAGGGCACGGCTCTCGGACTGCCAAAAATGGGATGAATGAGGTAATACGGGCTTGGGCCCTTGACAGGCACATCTGAGGACTCGGGGCTCCCCTGATGGGTCTGGCCTCCAGATGGGTCAGTGATGTGCAGACAGGGCACTCTGACTTCTGGGTACTCACAGATGTAAGTGATGGTGTCCTCTGGAGTGGGAGAAGGGCTGGGGACAGGGCTGGGCCTGGAAGTAGGTGCTGTGGCCGTTTCCTCTCCCTCTTCTTCTTGCTGCTCCTTGGTATCTTTATTTCCCACCCCAGTGGGCAGCCCCAGGACCTCCTGTAGATTCTGGGGTAGAGAACACACCTACCCTCTGGGCTCTTTCTATGAACGCATCGCCCCATCTAAGCCCACTGCTTGTCCTTGTCTCTACAAGCCTTCACCCCAAACCACAGCGCCCCTGCAGCACTCACCTTCAACATCAGCGACTCCCGCTGCCGCTCCTCTTCCAGGGCACCTCCCCAGCCTCCCGCCCACTCCCTCCCGGGACCCCGGGCTCCATGGCCAAAACCCAAAAGCTGAGGGACCACTAGGGCCCCCAAGAGCCAGGCTGCCTTCATTCAGCTGGGCTTCCCTGCACTCAAACCAGCAGAGGTCAGAATGTCCGGGGTGGGACCGGGTCTTGGGCTGCTGAGTGCCCGGTGCTGTACGCAGGTCTGCAGCCTCCTGGTCTCCACTCTGCCGGGCCTTCTCCTCTGCCTCCCCTCCTGATCTGGTTGTTTCCACTTTTGGTCCCCTCAGCTTTTTCAATGTGTCTCCCCGCCCCTCTTGGCTTCCAGGAGGCTCTGCCTCTGTGGCCGGAAACCTAACTTTCCAAGGACTAATCCTGCCTTGGGTCTCCCCACACCCACCCTTTGCTGCTTTCCAGACCGCTGCTTCTGCTCCCTTTTCCTCGATTTTGCAATTACCAGCATTTAGATGGACAGAAGAAAGATGGAGAAAGTTCTATAGGCATCCTTGATACGGGTAGGCCTCAGCCTTGGTCCATGAGCCTTCTCAGAACAAAGCAGGCCATGATGGATGCTGGCTTTTGGCTCTGTTTCCTTCTCCCCCTCCTGGCCATTCCTGAGGAGGGAACAGACTGCAGGGAAAGCTAAGGTTGTTATTATCCTGTGGCCACCACTGACCGCACAGTCTAATGAAGGGGACTCTTCTACCATCCTCAGGCTCCAGGCTCTCCCAATTGCCGCCCAGATGGTCTGTCCCGGCCCTCCCAGCCCTTCTGTATGCCTGCTTGTGGGAACATGTGTGAAGAGCATGCATGTGTATAGCTTGAAAGATGTACCTCCAGGATTATCCTGCAGGCCAGGCTCTGAGCGGGGTGATACTGGGGTGGGAGGTAGGGAGGGGGCCCAGTGGTTCCTCCATCAAGGAGGAGGAGGGACAGACACACAGAACAGGTATCTCCAGGAAGTGAACTAAGCAAGCCCTGGGCTCTGAGCAGAGAACATTCTGCAAGCTGCCTCATCCCAGCCTAGACCACTGCAGTAACCTCCCCCCTGCTTTCCCCCTCCTTCCTCTGAGCCCCTCCAATCTGGGCTGCTTGCCTGCCGCAGCCAGAGCAATCCTTCCAAACCATAAATCAGATCACATTACTCCCCACGCCCCTGCTTCCTCACCTTCCCATCAGAAGCCGGAGAGAAGCCAAACCTGGACCTCAGTCCTCAGTGCAGCCTGCATGGCTAAGGCCTGGGAGAGAACGGCTCTCTGCAGTCTCCCCATCTCCCCTCACCCTCCACCTCGGCTGTGTCCTCCCATCCTTTCCTCCTGAAGACTCTTCTCAGCTCTTTCTCACCACAGGAGCCTCAGCTCTGACCTCCATGTGAGTTGCTTTTCTAAAATGCCTCCTTTTTCTTCAAGGCATAATCCAACCAGTATGGTCTTGTTTATTTACATCTGTCTCTTGCAGACCAAGGCTTGGATTTTTGAGTAGCTCTGTATCCCCAAGTTGAAGCAGGGCTTCCTAGTATCTAGTAAGTGTTCAGTTAAGCTGCTTAATAAGGCCACTGTTCCTGGCAGAGTAGCAACAGCCTTGGCTAAAGGCTTCAAAGACAGACTTTTGTGCTTAGGTTGCACCTGAGTTCTCAAGGTGTCTGCCTGGGTAGAGGTGCTGAAGGCTGTGGGAGGATCCAATGCCAGGGAAGTGGAAGACTGTGCCATGCCCACTCCATGCCAGGACCATGAGTCCCACAGGGCTATTCCAGCTATAGTCCAGCAGGTCTTGCCAGTTCATGAGCCAGAGATCCAGGGGCCCAGGCTCTGCAGGGGAAAAGCAAGCAGCTCAGAGAGGCGACACGGCAGCCCTGTGTAGGTCATGGGGATGATGGCATCTAACCAAGGCTGCTGGCTCCGAGCAGGTGCCCGACATCTGCCTTCGACTGCTGAGAGCTCCATGAGGGGCCTTGGAAAGGAACACACCAGTTTTCAAGAAAGCCTGGTATGTGGAGGACAGAGTGACCTTGGGCAGCCTCTCAGATGCTCATTGTAGCACAGAGGTCCCTCACTAGAGGCTGGAGACCTCCATACAATGCATAACAGCCTTGTGAGCTACAGAGTGCTTCATAGCCACTCAGTGCTGGTGCCAACACCAACAGCTGTTCTCCATGGGCTCAGCTGCTCAGCACCTGGGTGGGTGCGCCAAGATGCTGCGCTCTCTGAGATGGCACCAACTCCAACTTATCCCAGGATGTTCCCAAGAGCCTGCAGCTGCAGAAGAACCCAGAAGCTACCTAGAACAGCCCTCTGGAGGTGCTGGTGTTCCCTAGTGACTCCGAGAATGCTGCTGGAGCTGGGGCAAAGTGGATGTCAGGACTCAAGAAGGCTGGGGGATGATGAATGAATCTGCCTCGCCTCTGTGAATGTACCAAGCGAGAGAGAGAGCGCTAACTACCTGCACACTTGTAGCTTTGTGTGCCCAAGTGTGTGAAATCAGAGGCAATGCGTGACGAGCGAGGATACACAAGCTCAGGCATGTTCTTTGGACCACTAGAGCAGGCCGGTGGAGACTAGGGAGACACATCCGTGACACCACCTCTTTATAGCTGGGTGACCTGGGGCAGGTTTCCTAGCTTCTCTGTGCTGGAGCAGGAAAGCAGTCCCTAAGCCTGACTTTTGTACTCATGGATAGCTGTGGAGGGGTGCTATGAACAGGGTGCGCAGTCTAACAGGTGTACACACCTGTGATGGACAGGAGGTGGGTGCGCTTGCTCAGACAGCACGCATGTCTGTCTGCCATGTGCTTCTGTGGGCAGATCTGAGCAGGCAACTGGAGTATGATGTGGGTAAATCTTGCAGGGTGCTGTCAGTATGCTGTGACAGTGGGGTGTGACATTGTGCATGAAGCCAGCCGGGAGTGTGTCTCTGGTCATGTGTACTGGGCAGGCATACCCTAAGGAGTAGGCAGCTGTGGGTATGCTTTGTTTATAGGGCAGGAGCAGCTGGAAGAAGGGGCATACGGCTATCTCTGGTATTCCATGTGTGGAGGGCTTATATGGGAAGGTGTGTGTGTGTGTATGTGTGTGTGTGTGTGTGTGTGTGTGTGTGTGTGTGTGTGTGCACATTTGGGAACACAGGGCAGGAATCCATAGCCCTCAGCATTCAATTTGGGAATAGACAGACTCCTTACAGATACAAATAGCACCCCACATGTGTAGAAAGAGTGGGAAGCACTCCGGGAAAGGGGCTCCTCTGGAAGGAGCAGGACCCCATTTGGAATACATGGGGATAAGCAGGGGTGGAATTTGGGTTTGGGGATGGGGCAGTGAAGATGAAGGATGGAGGAGGGCGAGGGGAGAGGGGCGGAGCCGCGTTTGGGAGGGGAGGATGGGCGAGGTTTGGGGGCGCGGGGAGGGGCGATATATCTCTGCGGGCTCCTGGAGGGAGGGGAGAGGGCGGAGGGAGGGGAGGGAGGGAGAGAGAGGAGAGCAAGAGAGAGAGAGACCGGGTGAGGGAGAGACTGCTAGTGCGAGAGAGCGAGCCGGGTGGCAGTGGAGGCGCCGAGCGGGAGCAGGCGGCGGCGGCGCGGCGGCCCCAGGCAGAGGAGGAGGAGGAGGCAGAGCCGGCGGGAGCCGCGGGGCCCGTAGCCCGGCCAGACCCCAGCCCCGGGGCGGGCAAGGAGGGGCGCGCGGGCGCGGCAGAAAGGGGGGCGCGCTGCGGATGGCCGGGCCCGGCCCGCGGGGGGGGTGAGGTCCGCGGTCCCCCCGCCCTCCCCCCAGCCCTCGCCCGCCCCCTCCCCGGCCCGCTCGCCCTCCGGGGCGGTGGGGCATGGCCTGAGGGTCCCCCGTGTACGGGGGGGTGGGGGGTGGGGGGAGGGGGAGGGGCCGCGGGCGCCGCCGACCGGGACTCAGCAGCCCCGCCAGGCAGGTAAGGGCACGGGACACCCTAGGGGGGTTCTGGGGTAGGGTGCAGCTGCGAGAGCTGGGGTTGCAGGAGAGGGCGGGGGCGCCCCGGATGTCCTTGGCCTGGCGCCGGCTCCAGCCTGGGTGTGCATTTAGGGTGTGTGTGGGGGAGAGTGCGGGTGTGGAAGGGAGCGTGGCCCTTACGGGTGACATCAAATTGGGTTGCGACCCAGTCCCGGGTGCCCCGTCCCAGATCGCATCCTTGCTGGGAGGGTGTGCCCCATCCCCCACGTGCTGCGCCCCCTAAGCCGCACTGGTCTCTTAAGCTCTTCGGGGCCACCGCTGGGTCTCGGTCCCCGCCTCCCAACCCTGTTCGGCCACTCCCCCGCCTCGCCCACCCTGGCGCACCTGGGCCCCTCCCCTAGGTCACCCTGGTTCCCAACCCCTTCAAGCCCAGGGTCTGGGCCAGAGCCTCCCACGCCGCCTAGACCCGCCGCCCCTTCCAGGCGACTCCAGTTCCTTCCCACTCGCGCCTCGCGTGCCCATCGCGCCTCCGGTCCCTTCTCCGCGGGTCGGCGCGCCCCCTCTGCTCCCGCCCCCAGTCCCAGCTCCCTCTCTGACCTGGGGCTGTCCCCTCATCAACCTTCCTGCCTCAGTTCCAGCTCCCGCCTTCCTCCACCTCCATTCATTCTCCCGGGGCCCGGCTCCTGGCCATGCCAGCCATCCCCTGTCCCCCCCGCAGCCTCGCAGGGCACCCCCTCTCTCCCCACCGCCACCCCCCCTTGCCGATTCCTCAGCCCGTCTCGGTACCAGCTGCGTGCCAGCTATTCTTAGCCGCCGAGCTTTTGATTCATGCCGCCCCGGCGGAGTGTGCCCGCTCCCTCCCTCGAGGCCGGAGGGGGAGGGGCCCGAGCTGTCCTGGGTGTTGGGGCAGTGGAGCCCGCGCTATGGGGGTCCGACCCTTGCTGACCTTACATCCCACCTGCCACCCCGTTCCTGTAGAGCTGGGGCTGCAGAGAGGATGTCAGCCGGAGTCAGCCGAGGGGGAGTGGCTGAGGTCACACTGCCAGACGGGAGGTGGTGTAGGGCAATCAGCGGACTGAGCTGGAGGCCGGGAGTCTCCTCACGAGCCCGGCGGGCGGGGCAATAAAGCCAGATACCTGGGGCGGGGCGGGGGGACTTCGGAGCTCGGTCCCCACGAGGGGGAGGGGTCCTCAGCCCGCAGTTAGACGCCCGCTCGCCTACAGTTCTTGGAACTCTCTTCCTTAAACATTTCGTCTTTCCTTCCCCAACCCTCCTCCCCCCAGCCCATCCCCACTCCCCCAAAGTCAGCAGTACCCTCCGCTGCTTCCCATCTCCATGGCAACGGTGCAGGAGCCGGGCCTGGTGTGGGGTGGGAGGGACCAGACCAGACATTCTGCTTTCCGGTTCTAGAGTGGGGAGTGGGGGGTGGTGAACAGGAGAGGAGAGGACAGCATTTGGAAAGGAAGCACCCCTCAGTAGGCCACCTTGAGAGGGAGGGACGCCCCTTCGCACCCCCTGGCCCCCCCGCATCGCTGCAGTTCACTTCTTAGTCTCCTCCCCAGCCTCCCCACCCGATCAAGTTCTCCTCGGTGGAGCCACCAGTGCCAACCCACCCACCCTGCTGTGCCGGTCCTGAAACACACTCACAGGTCACCCGCAGCTGCCCACCCCCACCCAGGCCACCGCAGCTTGTCACCTGGACGGCCCAGCCGGGACCAGCCTCCCTATCCTCCCACACATCCTCTTGGCATGCCCCAGTAACCTTCCTAGGTCCCTTGGGCACGGCTCCGGGGAACTTCTCTTTTCTGTACCTTTGTGTCCCTCGATCCCCTCCAGGGACAGCTCATTCCCCAGCAGCAGCCCTCCAAACATGTGGTCAGCCACACTTCAGTGAAGTCACCGGCTCTCGGGCACCTCCTGCTGCCCCAGGCTCAAAACTCACACCTCCACGTCTTTACTAGAAAAGTCATTCTCAGCCTCCCTGGGGTGAAGAGGCCAGGCTCTGGCCAGGAGGGCATGGTGTCCGGGTGGATTGGTCCACCTGTCTGTCCTCAGCTAATTTTAGCTTCATTTTCTATGGCTTGACAAAGTGGGCCAGTAGCTCCCGCGGTGATTCTGATTCTGTGATTTCTGGGACACACTGGGTCAGCTGCAAAGTGGAGCGCAGGGGGGTGGGGGTTGCAAGTGGGGCCAAGGACAGGGAGGAGAAGGGTGCCAGGAGGGCTGAAGAGGTGGAGTGAGCCTGTCTGCGCAGAGGTCTGAGGGTGTGCCTGCTCTCCCTCGCCTGTCTGCGCAGAGGTCTGAGGGTGTGCCTGCTCTCCCTCGCCTCCAAGGCGGAGGGAACAGACTGCCTCTGTGTCTGTCACTGAATGGTACTGGTAGCTTCTGAGTGGCTCTATGCTGAGGGTCACCCTTGCCTTGCCCAGCCGCCTGTGATGCTGCTGTCCCCCGTCGCCCCGTGGCCCCACGATGACCCACAGCCCCGCGACAAGCGAGGACGAGGAACGCCACAGTGCCAGCGAGTGTCCCGAGGGGGGCTCGGAATCCGACAGCTCCCCAGACGGGCCAGGGAGAGGCCCCCAGGGGACTCGGGGCCGGGGCAGCGGAGCACCTGGTAACCTGGCCTCTACCCGAGGCCTCCAGGGACGCTCCATGTCTGTCCCAGACGACGCCCACTTCAGCATGATGGTTTTCAGGATTGGCATCCCTGACTTGCACCAGACGGTGAGTGGCTACTCACGGTCAGCTGACAGACACATTGACCAAGGTTATTTCTTTACCCCTACTCGCAGCTCTGGCCCACTCTACCCCTTTTCCAACCTACCCTCAACCCTCAGAACCTTGACCCAACCTGGCCATCCTATCTCCCACCAGAAATGCCTGCGCTTCAACCCTGATGCCACCATCTGGACAGCCAAACAGCAAGTACTCTGTGCCCTGAGTGAGAGCCTACAGGATGTGCTTAACTACGGACTGTTCCAACCGGCCACCTCAGGCCGGGATGCCAACTTCCTGGAAGAGGAGAGACTGCTGAGAGAGTACCCTCAGTCCTTTGAGAAGGGGGTGCCCTACCTGGAGGTGAGGTCACAGAACTCTTAACAGAAGTCATGCCCTGAACACAATCACTCTGGCTCCAAGAGAGCCCCAGCGGGCTCTTCATGATGTCCCGAGAACTCACAGGATCCTGAGTCCAAATCACCAGCTGAGTTGCCTCAGATGGCATTCCTTCCCTTCCTTATGCCATCAGCTGGGACAGGAATCCCAATTACAGTAGTCATTCTAGAACATTCCATGGGTGGGTTACACTTGCAAGGTAGGGGTTATAATGCAACAGACCTTGACGATCTATACTCTTGGAAAGGTCACCTACCTGGGGCCATTTCCGTGCTAGCCCTGAACTCACCTGGGAGGAAGGGAGGAGTATCAGACATCATTCCCCAACAAAGAGTCTAATTACAAGTCTGTCTCTTCACATCCACTCCTGGTCTCAGTTCCGCTACAAGACCCGAGTCTATAAACAGACCAACCTGGATGAGAAACAGCTGGCCAAATTGCACACAAAGGTGAGACTGCCCTGTGTGGGTTTCCCTGGGTGTGCCCCCCGCACCCCAGCACCTGTCCGCCCCTCCTTTTCCAGTCTTTTCCCCCATCAACCCTCAGTCACCAAGTCCTCCGTCTGAATCCTGTTGGAGGCACCTGTTTATCTCCATCACACCCTCCCACCTCCCTCTATGTCCTCTCCTGCCCGGACCAATGCCATCTGTGCCTGGCGTGTGCATTTGTAAGGGTGTGGGGCAGTAGAGTGAGGGGATGGGTGCACGTGTGGAGGCCAGAGGACAATTCTGGGGGAGTCCGTTTTCTTTTTCCATCATGAGGGCCCTGGGAATGGAACTCGGGTGGTCAGGCCTGGTGGCAGGCACCTCTGCCTGATGAGCCATGTCACTGGCCTCACCTTATTTTTAATACAGTCTTTTACTGGTCTGAGGCTCACCATGCACTAGCTGACCGGGAAGCCCCAGGGACGTGCCTGTCTCCACTTCCCCAGTGCTGGGATTACAAGTGCACACCATCACCCCTGGCTTTCTTATGTGGGCTCTAGGGGAACAAACTCAGGGTCTCACGCTTGCGGGACGAGCTCTTTACTCCTAGCCCTTCAGCCCACTCTTTTAACTCTACCTTTCTGCTCAGAAGCACTTCGGGCCCTTTCTTACCCCGCCTCAGTCCGCCTCCTGCTAGGGAGTATTTCATAGACACCACAGTTCCCAGCCCTGTGGCCTGTATCTCCATCAAGCACAGACTCTGCCTTGTCTGGCCAGCCACACTTATTCTGTTGGGTTCTTTCCCTCCAGACCTTGGGTCATGTCTCCCCTGTGTCTGCCCTGGTCCCCTAGGAGCTGGGAGGAAGTTAGGAGGCTGATGTGGCCAGAGGGAAACAATTCTTGCCATTCAGTGG